CCCACACATAATGCCAGTGGACTTAGTCGTACTAATTCTTATCTTTTGGGAAAACAAACAAAAGAAATATGCTAAATCTGATAACAACATCGGAATAGTACCGTGACCTCCGCTCTAGTGGCTGGCTGCCGTCGGACTTGACCTTTGCAGTCGCGTTTCACCAGAATTTCAACTGGTACTCTACCCTAAGACTATGCCAATGCCGTTTCTGGGCAAAGAAATGTGCAATTTCACAAATAAATACCACTTCAAAACCAGTATGTTTTATGTAACCGTAACGTAATATTGTGATTCGATCCGTCTACTTGATTATTCCCAGACTCGTATAAGTGGGGGATCACACAGCCCCGGCTCCCAATTGATTCTCCACCTGGCAAATATGAAGCTCTATTGCGGCCTCCTTTTTTTGCTCTTCGCTTTGCCGAGTTCCAGGCCACAGAGCTCAAATAAAAATGTTAACAACATCAAAATTGGAGCTCCGACTACAGCAGCTCCCATTGCTCCAACAGCAGGAGATGAGTTATATAACTATGTTAACAAAGTACCGGAAAATATCACCAATGTCGGCTAACGGTATATTTTCGAACTTCTATTACCCCGGAAACGCCAGTAACGTACCTAAGATGCCTCCGCGGATTTATACCAAAAAACATGACTTTTTTAACATTTAATAACTTGGAAAATTAACACTGAATATAATATATGTATGCGCAAAAAAATTCTAAGCAATTCGCAGAGTTTTGCCCTTTTTTTTACCGTAATCATTCAAATATAAATATTTTCATAATATGACGGTTTTTTTAAAATTTTGTCGTACCAATAAAAAATAACTCCAGAATGGAAATGCCCATTACGTTTATGAATGTACCCTAATGAAACACCGCTATTATACATACATATATGGGAAACATACATACATATGTATATAAGCAAGCCATCAGAATATTCAACAGCTGCTCGAAATTTAATCTCCAGTAGGTAGGCTAGTACTACATACAGTAAATAGTGATACTACTCACACACAACCCTCTAATTACTATTAAGTTCTATTACATATGAACATATATACATACATGTACATATATGTGTACTTACTCGTGTCAGCTGCTATGCAATCAGCAATCTAAGGTCTATTACATTATCACAGCTTTGATGTATAATAACAAACTACTTCTGAATATTCAGGTCCACTCTTGACTCGACTCGCCGATCGCACAAAAACCGACGCACATTTCTGGCAAATCATAACACTACGAATATCACGCCATAACGAAAAAAAGCTTCAAACATAAAAACCAACAACAATTGGCACCAAAAACCAGTCGTACGTCCACAAAAAGCTCCCGACACCCGACGAATGCTTTTATAGAGCAGAGGCAGAGGCAGACGAAGACGCAGCGACAGCCACACGTGCGGGCAAACGCAAACACAAACAAAACGTTGATAATAGAAAAGAAAATAAAAGCAAAGCAAAACAAATGCGAAGCTGGCAAAGATCGTGTGTAGCCGTAAAAAAAAAAAAACAAAACACTAAAGCTATGGAGCGGAGGGACCAGATGGGCGGCGATTAGAATGCCGGTGCTCACAGTCTGTTTCGGAACTTGGCGAGCGGCGGACGCCCAACCAGCAAAAAGAATATAATAAAACTTCAACTAAAACGAAGATCGTTAAAATCAATTTAAGCACAGTTGTGTATTGTGGTGTGGTTCTAGTGAATCTGTGAATATTATGACATTTTTTTAATAATTATTCGATTGGAATTGTGATATCAAACGCCATGAATAAGAAATTGCAGATTGTTTCGAGGCATGTGCTTCGTCAAGGACCCCTGCTCCAGGCTATGCGCAGGTAGGATCACAAAAGGATAATCGTCCACGAAACTCCTTCCAAGGTCAAGGGTTTGTTATTCCGCCCTAAGATAACAGTTTCCAAATACTAAATGCGCAGTTTTGACGGGGGGTGTTTGTGTGCGTGTGTGTATATTCCCCATCTCCCGTCTCCATCCAACTTCTGCACATTGCGTAATCATTTCGGTTCCAGCTGTTTTAGTACAGTTGCCCACTGAAAAACTGTTCATCAAACTAGATCTTAGACTGGCATAACTGACCAACTGAAGTGCCACGCCCCCCCTTAAGAAATGGCTAAAAATATATCAGACTTGTGGCAGACTAGTAGATTTTAATTATCGGAAATTAAATTAGCTGACATCTGAAAGATAAGCAAATATTTGGCGACAGAAATTTCCATTCGCCTGATAATTTATGGGAGTGAAGACCCTCAAGTGTTAATTGAAATGCGATGAACATGCTTTAATAGATATCTGATATTTACAAGTACATATGTATATCAATATACTTATATAGAACAATTGTTAGAATAACTACTTATTTCGATTATGCAACTATTATATGTATTTGTAATACATTTATGGAAATTGTTTGCTAGATTAGATAGGTAGTTCTTCTCCTCTCCTAGCAGCTATCAAACGCGCTTACAGCTGGCAAGTACTTCATTCTATAGAGGTTGGTGGTGTGAATAGTGGAAAGATACACACATACATATATAGATACATATGAAGGGGAAGTGTGCCTCATATCTTTTGACCAAGTTCATATTATACGAATGTACGAATACGAGTGTGCGAACTAAAAGCTATGTCATAGGTGATGGAACTAAATTGATTCCTTCAAATAGTAACACATGATCAAGATTTTATTGATGCTCAGGAGGAGGAGGATGATTCGGGGGGTCAACAGCGATGTGTTGAGTGACATTTATCAGTCCCCATAAAACTTTAGGTACGTCATATCATCTTATATTGCTATGGCGCCATCTGGCAGATTTTTTTGTTTGATAAAAACAAAAGGCGCCACTATGGAATATGGCGGTAATAAATGTAACTTCAGAGAGGTAAAAACAGGGCTGAAAAACCAGCGTTGATATATAACAGATTTTATAATATTAATATTTTATGGGGTGGGAAACGGGGGTCTGGACGTTACACACATCCATTTTCACTACAAATCTAATATAGTACCCCTATACATATTTTGAGTATCGTATATCAAATATTATTAGAAGACGTGCATTACTTACCTTTACTGATATTTCCTCATCCTCTTTAGTGTGTCCACCTCTATGCCCGTTCTCATCAGTCACCGACATCATATTGGTAAAGAGCCTTTAGTCTATCGCACTGTGGGCCAGCAGTTGGAGCTGACGGCATCAAAATATCCTGATACGGAAGCCATCGTGTCCTGCCAGGAAGGTAAGCGGTACACCTTTAAGAGCCTGCTGGAGGAGGTCGACCGGTTGGCGGCAGGATTCCGGAGACTAGGACTGCGGCCCGGCGATTCTGTGGGGCTGTGGGCGCCCAACTATATGCACTGGTACCTGGGCATGATGGCATCCGCCCGGGCCGGACTTACCTCGGTTGGTATCAATCCAGCCTTCCAGGGCCCCGAGGTTGCCTACTGCCTGAACAAGGTGAATGTCAAAGCAATTGTGGCGTCGGAGACGTTTAAGTCACAGAACTACTACGAGATTCTGCGCAGCATTTGCCCGGAGATAGCAGATGCGGATCAGGGCAAGATCAATAGCGAGAAGTTCCCGCACCTACGCTCCGTGATCATCGACAGCAAGGACAGTCTCAAGGGCGCCCTGCGGTTCGACGATTGCCTGGATCTGGCCAGCAGTAGCGAACGTGAGGAGATCGGCAAGTTGCAGACCAAGATCTGTCCGGAAAGTGCCTGCAACATCCAGTTTACGTCGGGCACCACCGGCAGTCCCAAGGCGGCTGCTCTCTCCCACTATAACTTCGTGAATAACGGCATCCATGTGGGGACTCGCAACCAGCTCGAGGGGGAGAGAATATGCGTCCAGGTGCCACTGTTCCATGCCTTCGGGGTGGTGATCACGATCATGGCCGGCTTGAGCAAGGGGGCGACTCTGGTCCTGCCCGCGGCTGGCTTTAGTCCCAAGGACTCGCTGCAGGCCATCGTCAAGGAGAAGTGCACTGTGATACACGGAACGCCAACCATGTATGTGGACCTCGTGAGTACACAGCGGAAGCTCCAGGTGCCGCTGGGCAGAATCAAGAAAGCCATCACCGGTGGAGCCATAGTCTCGCCGCAGCTCATCAAAGACGTCAAGGAAGTCCTGGGCGTTGAGGCTATGCACAGTGTCTTTGGTCTGACGGAGACAACAGCCGTCATCTTCCAGTCCGTTCCCAACGACAGCGAGGACAAAGTACTCCATACGGTGGGCCATCTGCAGGATCATGTCGAGGCCAAGGTAATCGATTCCGATGGCAAGTGCGTGCCCTTGGGCCAGCCCGGAGAGCTGTGCGTCCGCGGGTACGTGACAATGCTGGGCTATCATGGCGATCCGGAGAAGACCGAGGAGACAATTGGCAAGGACAAGTGGCTCCGCACCGGTGATCAGTTCGTCCTGGAGGCCAACGGATACGGACGCATCGTGGGTCGCCTCAAGGAGTTGATCATCCGCGGCGGCGAGAACATATTTCCCAAGGAGATTGAAGACTTTTTAAACACCCATCCGCAAGTCATCGAAGCTCATGTGAGTACCACTCAAAGTTTCCTTTAGATCCAGTGATTGATTGATTCGGTGGATATCTCTTCCAGGTGATTGGAGTACCCGATGAGCGGCTGGGGGAGGAGCTCTGCGCATTTGTCCGCCTCAACGAGGACATTGATCCTGCGACCTTCACCGTGGAGGCGTTGCGAGCATACTGCAAGGGCAAACTGGCGCACTTCAAGATACCGCGCTATGTGTTCCCCGTCGAGGCATTCCCCAAGACCACCTCTGGCAAGATCCAGAAGTTTAAGCTAGTGCAGGAGTTTAAGGAGCGCGTGGGCCAGGATCGTGAGGCCGTTAGAGTTTAGAGAGATATTACAATATTACTTTTATCTGTGAATCGAGCAATAAATTTTAGACTTTTTTAAGAGACGTCTTTCGTTGATGGGAAATTCATTTTATAGTTTCTGAAACAATTACTTATTTATTTAAGGGTTTCTTGAAAGTATTTAGCAAAAAATATTTCTAGGGATTTATCATTTGTAGCAATGTGTTTCTCCCGCTGTTTCTTTGCGGCACCTTCTCAGAGAGACATTGGCGCCTGGGCCTGGGGCTGGGGCTGGGTCTGGGGTTGGGGTACCCTCTTAGCTGTAGTTCTCTCCACACATAATAAAAATAACATACTTAAGAGTTAATGACAATGCCTGCGTGTTACAAAGTTATGCGTATCCCGAATCTATACATATAAAACTCGCATTCTTCGGATACTCGTACAATCCAAGGATAACAGAAAGTTAAAACATATTTAACTAAAACTAATACAAATTCATACGTACACAAATATATAGATTATTGAGAGAAGAATGCTCTCGTATAAACTAGGCTTTTAAACAGTTTCAATTTGCTTCTTGCTCATTCCGTAGCGGGCATTAAAAACTAAATAATAAATACGCGTACATCTAGAATTTCCATACAAACGCACAAGAATAAAGCTTATAGATCTGACATACTAATTGGTACATTATTATATATATATATTATTTATATTATTACACACGATTAGCGGGCATTTAAGGACATCGAGTGAATGGGTTTGAGCTTGGGGAGGATTACAATCATTGAGAATCGCTAGGCTAGAGGCTAGGCTAGTATTTGGATTGGGATTAACATATTTAGTATGTATGTATGTATGTATCAGCGAGTCGCGGTTCGAGTACAATATCAATATCAATGTCGCTGTGGTACGTGGTACGTGGTATAGTAATAAGTTTTATGCAAATATTCATACTGCTTCAGCTAAATGCTATTCATTACATTACTGCAGGAGTTCTGGTCCTACTCCTGATTGGTTTGAAACATTTTTAGATTTATATATATATTGATTTTCTGTATGTATTTATGTATGTGTATGTTGTGTGTGTATGAGTGTTTGTCTGTGGCTTCCATTAAAAAAGTTAGTGGTATACTATAACATTTATATGTCCTTTGCCGTATTCTATATCTATGCCAATATTCCATATCCATATCCTATCCCATACTCGTATGACAGACGGACTGTGACTGTTCTATTATATATCCATGCATTATCCTGTTATACATTGGTAAAGTGGGGGGCGGGGGCAGGACATCTATTATATCTACTGCTATAATGCTAAATGCAATTATTTACACAAACATTTTCAATTCAGAAATATCAACCAACTATTGTTTAATTTGTAAATTATCATTATCATTTCCATTTCATGTTCTGTTCACAAGGTGCGCTTTAGAAGCTATCATCGTCCTCGTCGTCATCCCCGTCCTCATCGTCGTCGTCCTCGGGCTCGCCCACAATGAGCTCCTCCTGCTGGACATCACTCACGGCATAGGCGGCCATCTCGTAAGCCTCTTCGGCTGCCTCGGCAACGGCAATCTGCTCGATGACTGCCCGCTCCTCATAGCCCAGTCCCACTCCCAGAGCCGGCGGCATGTCCTGTCATGCCTCGGCCTCCGCATCGGCGGCATCCTCCGACCAGCTGACCTCCATGGGGGTGCAGGGCAGCGCCTCCTCAATGGACATGCGGGAGGACGGCTGCTTCGGTCGCTTGGAGAGGGAGCCCACCGATGCCGTGCTGGAGGTGGAGCTGCGCATCATGTCCTCCGATGAGGCCGAGCAGCTCTCGTCCTCGGAGTTGGCACCGGAGACCATGGCCTCGCCGGCCGACTCCTGGATCTCCTGGAATTTCTTCAGGGCATTGGCATCGGACGACATGAGCTTCATGGTGGAGCTGCGCGGACGCATCTCCGACTGCAGCGTGGCATGGGTATGTGGCGAGCTGGAGCAGACGGGATGGGGATCCTCGTTCCAGTCGGGCAATAGCAGCTCTCCGCCCAGCGTGGCGAGCTCGGATGTGTGTCGCTTCTCGCAAACAGCGGACGTCGATGCAGAGCCCTTGATGCACATGGAATGGGATCGTGTGCGGGACTCCGACTCCGATTCGCCGCTGAGTGAGTGACTGCCACGCACCAGCGCTGTGGCCGACATGCTCTGCGAGAGCGGATTGGGTCCGCCATTTCTGTGGACCGACGATGAGGTGCCATTCCTTAGGGACGACGATGAGTGGCCATTGGCGTGTCCGTTGCTTATCGCCTGCTGGCGGCGCTGGATGGGACTGCGCTCGTTGCTGCCACGTAGGGAGCCGTTGCGACGCACCATCTTGGCGGAATGCACCTTGGGCGTCTCGCCGTCGATGTCCAGGGTCCAGCTGATCGAGTCGTTCCTCTCGATCATGCCCTTGATCATCGGCGATGTGGGCGACGACACTGACTCGTTGGTGCTGCGGCTGAAGCAGTGCGAACCGTCCTGCGAGCTGAGGGACCGCTCCTGCAGCCGAGCCTCGGCGTTGTGCAGCTTCTCGGTGCGTGTCTTGAGGAGGTACACCATCTCCTCCTTGTCGAAGGTGAGACGAGTGCGCTTCATGCTCTCATGATTGTAGGCCTTCTGGAGTTCATCCAACTTTTGTTGAGTTTCCCTGAGAGCAGAAGAAAGAGAGTGGAATGTTAGCGTGGAATTCTTTGGGTTCGGGTTTCTTTTAACACTTACTTTTCCTTTTCGGCTTTGGTCTCTAGCTCTAGCTGCAGCAACTCGTTCTTGGACTTGAGCAGATCCAGCTGATTGGATAGCTTTAGGCGCTCCTCGCCTTCGCGCTTCAGGTCCGCGTTCTCCTTGGACAGCGTTGAAATCTCCGCCTGCTTCAGCTCCAGGACGCAGCGCAGGCTCTCGGCCTCGCTGGTCAGGCGGCACAGCTCCGCACTGGTGTCGGACAGGCTGGTCCTGGTGCTGGGACTACGCTGCTGAGACGAGGTACGCAGCACGGATATCTCGTCCTGTGAGAGGGTCAGGCGATCGCGCAGATCGCGCTCGCTGTACTCCTTGCTGGCCCGCAACGTGTTCAGCTCCTTGGTGAGGCTCTGGACGCGCTCGTTGAGCTCCTGTTCGCGCTGGGCGCCCTCGTGAATGCTGGTGGTGTGGATGTTCTTCTTGCGGATGAGTCTGTCGCGGAGCTCTTGCTCCTGGACCCCGGCCTTTTGCAGGCGCGACTGCAGATCCATTATCTGTGCCTCGGCGGTGGTCAACTGTTCCAGCTTGAGGGCCAGCTTGTGCGAGACCTCCAGCTGGTAGGCCTCCTGCACCAGCTTGTGCTCCTCGTCCTTGGCCCGCAGCTGGGCCTCCAGTTCGCAGAACCTTTGCTTTGCAAGCATTTGCACCTCCATTACTTTATCTTCAGCTAAAGCGAAAGGAAATGGGTTAGTTTTGTGGATCAAAGAGACAGATAGAATGTGAATTCTCACCTTGCTTCAGTTCAGTGCGATGCAAATGCTCACGTTCCTGCTGCCGCTGGGCCCACTCCACGTCCTTGGCGTGCAGCTCTTGGCGCAGCTCCTCGCAATCCCGCTGCGTCTGATGCAGCAGCCCGATCGTGTCCTCCAGGGCGCTCCTGTCCCGGGCACACTGCTCTTTGGTCTCCGCGCAGGCGCAGGCATCCAGCTAAAACAATAAACAAAACAAACGTTAGAGTCGCTATAAATCCGGCTATAAAATGCAGTTCGGTTCGGCTACGGCCTCTACCTGTACGGCGTGCAATTAAAAAGATATTTTCAAGAGTCTCCCTTGCACGGAAGTCAAAACAAATGAAAATTGTCAAGAGCGAGGGAAATTCCCGTCTGCAGACAATGCGGATGGAGAGGTCTGGGATGCTCGTTTCGCGGTTAAGGTCGCTTGGGAAAATCCCATCAAATAAACGAATATTTTAATTTCCCTAAGAGATTTCCTTGGTGGATCTCGCTCCATACCTGTTGCTGTGCATAGCCCTGGGCATGGGCGATATTATCCATAAATTTGGGTGTCCTGTGTCTGCTGGCGGATGTGTGGGGCACCGTCCAGGTGATCAAATCAAAGTCCATGGTCTGGGACGACAGTTTCTCGTTGGTGAAATCAAAATTGGCAAACATATTTGCTCTCTCGTGGCCGGTGTGTGTTGAGCACGAATACTTGAAGTAGACTGATGGCCAAACGACCAGAAGGATCTGCTTTTATACCCCGCACCCGAAGCGGCAGGTAGATTGCAGACAAGGAAGAGATCTCTTCGAGGTAGATCTTCCCGGATATGGAGAGCAAAATATTTACAAGGGATTTGGATTTATGCGAGACGCAGACGAAATAAAAATTCAGTTTTTAAAACATGCTGCGAAAAGGGTTCTTCTGCTGGGTTTTAGTCCCATGCCCCATGGAAAAAAATACTAGAAGCGAGGATGCAATGTGGGTGTGGCCCTCAGTGGCCAGGCGAAGGGTGGGACTGGATTCGCTTGGGCAACGCCTAGACAGCCTCGGAGCAAGAAATTTCCAACAGCAGGGAGAGAGCGGCTTAGGGATCGATTCGATCTCTGGCCAACTTCATGTGGTTTCGGATCAATCGAACAATGTGGCAGTGCCAGTAATCCAGTGGGGCGGCTCAATGTGGGTGTCTTGAATGCACTTCAAATTCACCGTAATGGCGCGCACCTTCTCTGCAACACTTTGGGTGGATGCGTGTCGAAGTGGCCATAGCCTCAGAGCGCCTCAGAGGCACGGGTTGGAGGATTTTCGAGTGGATGTTACAAATTTGATTTGTACTAAAACAAATCGCAATTTGCATAGCAGTTTAGAGGGCACTTGAGGAACTGAGTTGGGATCTGTGTAAAGGGATTATGAGTGGTTGTACTTGTCACGGATTCAGTCTAGAATCTAGATATCTAGTAGTCTAGACCTTCTCCACAGTCTCCTACTCTGAACCTGTAGTCAAGATCAATGACAGACAGTCGCCTGGTTAATCCCGATCCACAAATTAAGAGCTGCCCGACCAACTTCCAGGCGTGGCCTGCCTGTCCAGCAAATTAATTGCCACCGGGTCGCTGTGCCTCCGACTCCGACTCCGTCGCAGACGCCTGACATTTGCTGGATGACAGTCAGCGCAGACGTCGACGGAGACGATCAAGACAGCCAGCGGCAATTACCCGACAAGGACGTTTGCAATTCAAGTGTTTAAATCGGTGACTTGCCGCCAGTGAAAGAGACACCGAGAGAGAGAGAGAGAGTGACCAGTCCAGTGCAGTCTTCTGACAGCGGATTTAATCCTTTGGCTGCAATTGAGACAATTTCATGTTGCGCACTCTGCTATCTTAATGGATCGGCAATTGTCCTTCGACGGACACTAAAAACCTCATAAAAACGAGCACAAAACCAACCCAAAAATTGTACTTCCAGCCTTGTCCTTTCTCGCCTAATGTCCTTGTGTAAACGGAGTTGTGTGTGTGCGTGTGTGGAGGACCTTGCCGCGTGTTTTTCCACGGTTTTCACACCAAACTGTGAAATCTCGGATCGGATCCTATCTAAATAAATATTTATGTTGCCACATAAGTTTAGGCTTTTAGTGGGAAAATATTCAAACGAGCGGCCGTGTGTTGCGCGTTACCCCGAAATCCCTCTCTCTCTCTGAAAAAACAAATCCCTCCGCGCGTTGCATGTTTGCAGACACAGCCACGCGGCGGCGGCAACGGCGGTAGCCGCATGCAACAAGTTACACAAATATTGTGGTATGCTCTGCCACTCCCGATTCCCGATACCCCCTAGTATTTGCTCGTAAATATGCATATTCACGGCATTCATGGGTTTGTTTTTTCGAAATGTGAATAAAGTAAATATGGAAAATGCTAAAGATAAATACACAAATTGCATTAGGACACCGGCAAGCGCCAACCAGAACGTTGAAATTCAAGGGAATTTAAAGTCATATTTTTGGGACATTTTACACTGAAATTTTAAATATAATTAGCAACTTTACTGAGTATTTTGGTATGCAATTTATAAAAGAAAAAGGTTTACTTTTGGGAGGTATATTCATTGGATTTTCGTATAGATATTTCAAGAGTACATTTTAGAAAGGGAACTCAAAATATTACGAATATTTATAGTAGACGATGTGCACCTTGCCTTTGGTAAACGAAGGCCTTCAGGTTTGGGTTAAATAATAGAAGAAAATAGGAATTCCTTGGAATATAGTGTGGCTCTTTTATGAGCCTCAATAAACGTCTATAAACTTCAGTACCAATGAAGGAGAAATCATTCACCTGTTAGAAAATCTAACTAAATAAATCAGACAAAACCATGAAGGAAATTTTAAAGAAATTTGTATTTAAAAGAATCAAGAAAGGTTCCCCTTTCCATTTGAAAAAAATCCTTTCCAAATAGTTACAACATCTGCTTTCATCTTTCAACAATTTAATAATGTGTTAAACAGTGAATGAAATTTCCACCAAATAAACCAAAGATTTAGTTAATCTCTTTTTGGATAAAAGATTTCCCCAGAGCTTAAAGAATTGAGTTATGCAAAAGTACACATAAAAAAAGACTAATTTTAAAACTTGCTTAATACTTCCGGAATTCCAGCAAAATCCCCGCAGCTCAAATGTGAAAATTTCCGAGCAACAGCTTAAGGGATTCTGGAATTTTTGCTTCATTTTAATGACTTTCCTTTGAGGCCAAAACAGAACAGAGCAGAACAAAAAAGAAGAATACGAGTAAGGGGAAATGTTCGCAAATGGCCAACGCAAATGACATCAATACAATGGCCATTTGTACAATACAGCAGCCGATGACACATGCTCGTATTGTGCAAAGGCACGGCATTAACTATACTCGTATGTTGTCATCTTTTCATTGCATAAGACTGAGTAAAATCTGAGTAAAATCCCCCTATGCCGGAGCAGCAGTGGCAGGACTCTCCTGTTGTTTCGATTATCCTTCGGGCTTGTGTGCCGAGACAGGCACTAAAGCCAATGGATTTGCGCAATTGTTAAACATTTTGGATGACACAAAAGGCTTTGCTGCTGTCCAGGACAAAATGTGCCTGAGGAAGTTGTTCCAAAGTGGCTTTCAAGTCTTCTCAAAGAGCAGCAAAAATTACAAGTTCGGACAAATCGCAATTTCGTGAATTCTACCTAAAAGCAATTGCGGTTGAAAAGTCAGCAGACAAACAACATCATAAATCGATTTACGATGCCCGGAGGCAACCGAGGAGGATGTCTACTCCTCCCACATTAACCTGACGCATTCGTACGATTATATGCAAATGTTAAACTAATGCTTTTCGCGTTTGTCGCTGATTTTTATGACCTTGTTATTGGTATTTAATAGAGGGCCCCGCGGACAGACGACGACCCTCCCAACAGGTAGAGGTCTGGACACAAAAAAGGCTGGAACAGAAAGCCCGAAAGATTAGATTCCACTAAAGAAAAGGTAACCATTTTCCACATCCTTTAACGGGCAAATCGCGACAAAACTCACACGTGCCCGGGCATTTGTCATTTGTCTAATTAAATCCTTTACACCGAAAATGGCAAACAATTAATTGAATGCTGCAGATGGAACACACGGTCTCTCTCTAGAATGTGCCACTGGCTCACACCCTTTCATTTTGTGGCAGAGAAAGGCTTTCACACACAGTTCCACATCCGCACAAAAGGAAAAGGATGAGGGATTTTCGTTAGCATCTGCTGAATGGAAAACTTTACTTTTGTGCCAAATTTTCAGTTTCAGTTTTTAATTAGTGCAAACACAAAAAGCGAGCCCCGGATCAGGCTCAGGTTTCATGGTGGTTTTCTGGTTTCTGGTCTCTGTTTCGGCTTAGGCCGCACTGACACAATTAAACAAAATTAGCTCAACTTTAAGCATAGATTAAGGCAAATTTCTGAAACAATAGCAAGTCGGCCGGACAGTCGATCCATCAATCCCTCGCAGAACATATGGAAAAGGAAACCATACGGGAATTATTAGAGCAGGTGAACCCAACCCGGGCACGGGCCCGGACCCATCGACACGCATATGTGGAGGACAATCACAATGGGCTGGGAAAGAGATACGCTGATAGGGCTGAGAGAAGGGCTGAAGAGACTGAATGTCTAGGTATAAATCCCTGGCGCCTGTTTCTGCTAAATCCAGCCACTGATCCGCTGCACAGTGCACTCGTTTCTCGTTAGAAGATTACTGGCTACTCGCTACTAACCTTTTGAGACATGAACTGAACCATTACGGCGAGTCCCATCATCTGACGGTGCTCCTGCTCCCTCTCGTTGAGGTTGGCCTGGAGAAACTCTGTCAAACGCTCAGGGTCGAGCACATTGTTCTTAGTGTAGGGCTTCAGGGCGGGATACTGGATGGTGATGTCCACCCGGGGATGGGCAATCATCGTCATTGAACTGCAAGACTTTCCAATGACTTCGCAGACTGGACTCGACTGGAAAAGGAAATTGGGGGAAAATATATTATCCATCTTCTTCAAACCATTTATTTATATGAAATCTTACCTTATTTTTACTACTAGCTGTATTACGGGGTTTGTTTTCCTGATCTTTCTCATCCTGTTTGAGCATCTCCTCCTTGGCTGCGACTGCCGCGGATCCTGTCTGTTTCTGGGTATTGATGAGGGGTTTGCATTCGCATTTCTTGAGCTTGGGCTCCGTCTGACAATTGCAGCCAGCGGCGGCACCGCAAACACAGAGCGACTCCTGGCTAAGGGAAGCCCGCTTCGAGTCCCTTGGCATTGGCGGTGTCGAAGGCTGTCCATTGAGCTCCTGCAACTCCGTTTGATCCACGCCAGAACGCAGGGATTCTGCAACGAGAGAGAGGGGATATCAAAATGTCATTAGTCAAGGTTTTAAAGACGAAGAGATGTAGCCCACAGATAGGCCAAAACCTATCCCTAAGATAGCGACATTACGCAACTTTCGAGTGGCGAAAGTCTCTGCTCATTAAGTCATCTCCCTCCTCCTCGATGAAGATTAACCAGAAGATGAGTTAACACACTCTGCTCCCCGATGAAGGTGAAGTCGAAGATGAGGCTGAAGATGAGCTAACGATGATGAGGATGAGGTAGGCCATGATTCATCTAACGATGAACCACTCCAACAACTCGTCCAAGCGTCAAGCAAAAAAAAATGAGTAATTGCCTCGTGCCTAAAAACCGCAATGGCAATAAATTTTCCTTTTGCATAATTCCATTGACAAAAGGGAAAGCAAGGCATGGCAATCTTCGGCAAATGCCGCTACGAGGTGTAAGAGCTGCCACACCCATAACACCAAAAAGTGGTACCAGTAATGCCATAGGTCGGGCCTAGTGCCGGTGCTGGGGCTCCATCATCATCAATTACCAGACGGTCTCTGTCCAGCTGCGAGGCTGTCAATTAGAGAGGATGCGTGGCCAATTTTTTAGCCAACAAATTGGCCTTGACAAGCCCCAAAGATAGGGAGGCGAGGCCCAAAGGCCCAGGCCGAGAGACAGACAGGAAGAGGTGTGTGTTTGGGGTTCAGTAACCGGCATGATCCATCCATCGATCAGTCCATAATTTACACGATTTCCTTACAAGCCACGCGCCGTTTTGCGGTTCCAAATTGAAGCTGTCCGCCGGCCTGGTCTACGAGCATACGGCCATGTGTCTGCCATAGACAACGGTTGACGGTTTTATGTTACCACATAAATTTCCGACTACGAGCCAAGGTGGCACACAAAGTTGCCGATGTTTGAACAAGATTGCCAGGAGCGGAGCACATGTCTCATATGACAATTGGCACCAGGAAAAATTTGTTACTTGTCGCTAATGAAAGGGGCGGTGCTGTCTTCCGGAGTTGTCTGCCAGACTTAAGATCATTACCGCGAGATGATTATTCAAATATCGAAAGCGAAATTGCCTTGTCACCAAGGTAGCTCCATTCGAACTGGTTTTTGCAACATTGTCAAACGACATTCCAATTTACATTGAATATAGCCCCACATGGATCGCGTCATAGCTTCGGAAAGGAAGTACTCTTCTTATCGGTGGCACTGCCAGACATTTCATAAATTGTTGCACAAAACCGCAACCTGCTCGTTGCAGTAAAGCCATCAAGGCATTAATTCAATTAATGAATTAGCCGACGACAGCCGCTGTGGCAGGTGGATGTGGCGGATTTAGCCGCCTCTTACAGATTGTGTAAGGCCAATAAATAAACGATACCATGCCCGGGAAACTCCAACAAACCGAAACTGGCTTGAAAACTGTTCAGGTTTTGGGTGTCTTGGAAGAATCCCCTCAAATCTGGGCCAATCGAACGGCCAATGATCTTTTAGGAGACTGATCTTTGGGGCAAAATCTAGCAAAGGTCAATCTGTTTTGTTGGCCCATGAAAGTGCTTTGGCATTTCCCAATTCTTGAATATTCTTCCAAGAAATTACTTAATAGCAATTATTAATGGAGGAACCTTCGAGAAAGTCATTGAGGAGCAGTCGGCACACCTGATGCCGCCTCTCCCTGTGCTTCCTCAATGTCGCACGACTCGAACGGGTCTGGCACACGACAGGCTCTCCGCGTTTCAGCCAAGAAACAGAACATTTCGCATGGCAATTAGGCAATTAAATGACATTAGCTACGACCATTTAATTGCAAGGCCAAGAATATTTGCCATGGCACCTCGTACCCTGCGTAATTTCCAACAATTTCCAGCAGAATATTCTCACGGCCCGACTCTCTCTGGTCCCTGTCGAATCGCAACAAGTCGCTGACAGGCTCAATCCGGTGACAGCCGAGCGAGCCAACGGGTGGCAACGCGGGGAGTGAGACCCGAACTATGCGATTCCATTCCATTTGGACGATTTTATGGCACAGAAACCGACCACCTCAGTAGTTATATGGCCGCCGCCCTCTATTTTCACAGTTCCTATGCAGACATTTCCCATTTCCCAGACCATTTGTCACTGGGAAACACTCAGCGGCGGGTGATTTCATTCAGAAATTTCTTCCTTCGAATGTGTGTGTTTTTTTTTTGTCGTGGTGTGAAAAGTGTTGCATGGATTTTCCCAATCTAGATGGAAGGAAGGTTTTGAAACTATAGGAAAAAATTATAGAGAGGAGGAGAAATAAGGAGTCCACATAAGACTTCCCAAAAGAAGTCCCCAATAAAAAGTATAAGTTTAGGTAGAAATATAATTAGTTTAGAAACATTTAAGAGGTAATCATGGATTCCTTTGTGGCCGAAATCTATACATCCTTCAAATCCCCAACAAATTCCGTATTTAATTTTCCAACAGCAGCTACTATTTTCCGTTTTCTCTCGCACTCTTTTATGGGGGTTTTCCCCCCGTGTGCCTTGCGGCATCCATCCACCTCCCGGACAACTCTCCCCCATACAATATCAATCAACATCAAAATCCATTGAATGCCCAGGGTTTGCACATGGGGTCTGTGTTCGGTTTGGGTTCGATTTCGGTCAGCCAAGCTCATAATGACGGTTTGGGTTTGGTTTGGGTTTTCAGCTAAAAACTGAACATGTGTCAAACTGGGACTGCGACTGCGACTGGGACGGTGTTGGCAGTCTCTCGTGGTGCACGTTGCACAGTGGGCCGTGTGATGCTGTGACACTGAGACGGACAGCTGCCTGGACGGACACTGTCCGGCTCTGTGTGCAAACGTTTGGGCGACAGAAAATAATTGAAATTCCAAAATATCTTATTTGGCATTAGGCAGCTGCCACTGACTGCGGCTCCGGCTCATTGTTGTTTTAGCCATTTTAGTGAATTTTGGAAAAGCAACAGCCAACCTGTCTTAACCCATGGCGACCCACAAAAAACATGTCCGTCCGATGGAAATGGAAATGCGCGTAATTAAAACGAGCAACAACGACTCGAAACTGGCATTTCAATTAGCTGCGTTTGGAAAATGCTCAAAAACCAAATAACCGAAAACCAAAAAACCAAAAACACTTGACTCTCGACACAGCGCTACTTGCCACGACTTGAAACGACTAAACGTCGCTTGTCTCCCTGTCTCTGTCTATCGTTTGTGGCTGTCTCTTTCACTGCATTTGTAGCTGTCTCAATCTCCTCAGTGTCTGCTCTGTCTATCGTTCTCCATTATGCCTCTGCCTCTGTTTTATTTCGCGCTTTGGTCACTTTGGGGGGAAATGGGGCTGAAGGAAAGGGTATACGGGGGGGTGGGCATAGTGTAATACAGACAGTCGTCAGCCTTTGGGGTTTATTGCTGTGTGTGGCAGTGCATTTGGTGCTTTGCTTTAATTGCAATTTAACAACAAATTGTTTTAGCAACGAGGCACAGGCATAGGCACAGGCCCCTGGCCCCAAGCGCGACTATCCGTGGGCGAGAGTCAAGTGGCAGGCCGCAAATTTGTGCAAATTTCTACTCGACACATGACTATTTGAAGGAAAAATTTAATAACAAAAGAAAAAACCTAAAGAATGCAGGAAAGAAGAGGAATTTGATTAGAATTCGGATATGGTTTTAGGCTTATTTTTACTCTCTAACAACATATTCCATGGAAATCTAATCCATAAAACATTATTTTATGATCTACAGACAGAAAATGTGGTTGCGATTGACGTCAACGAATTAAATGTAATTTTCTGCTTCATTTTCTCTATAATAAAAGAACAAAGGCATGTATTCCAGATGTAATTTAATAAACATGTTATGCTCCCCCATAAAATAGTTTACTTATGTATTTGGAACTGCCATCAATTGAATGATCATCCATTCTGCGGCAGGAAGACACATGCCATCAAGATATCCCGGCAAATGTGATGTGTTCGAAACACTTGCCTTTAATTGAATCTATTCCATAAACAAACCAATTCAAATAAGCCCACCCTTAATGACACAAATTGTAAACACTATTTGCACTAAATTATGCATTCAGACAGTGAGGAAAAATACAAAAAAAGACCCGCAGCCAGGAGCCAGGTCATTTGTAAACAACTCTCGATGGATAAACATTAAAAGAGCGTCCACAAAGAAGAATCAGGCCAGAAGATGGTCGCTCTACGGATGTATATCTTATAGACACACGATCGATTCCGATTTCGACTAAAGGCAAAGTCTTTTATGATGGAACAGTGACAGGGAGATCGCTTCGAACTGCCAGTGTCGGGGGGGCAGTGTTGAAAGACACATATCAGGGGAATTATGGGAAGATTTTCATTTCACTCAGTACTGGGGTGTATCGACTGTGTCTGGACAACAATGCCTATGGGAAGGCACACACATTTCAAGGTCGTAGAGTCGTCGTCGTCTGGCTTGGCGCATTTCCCATTTATTTTCGCTTAAACATACTTTTTCGTTTCGTTTTTGGCTCAAGTTCTAATGATTATTTTTAGATAAGTTGTGCACGAAAACAATGCTTCTGTTCTTGGCCAACCAATAGATAGACACAATGCCAGATACCAAAATAATGCAATAATAAAAACCGAACCGAATTTGTCTAATTAATCATTACATGACTGAGTGGGGCTGGGACTGGGGCTGGGCTGGGGGGGGCTGGGGCATGCAGATACGTATATGTCTATGATTTTTTTCAATGTTCGTGCATATGATTGATGTACTTATATTCTTTTCATATTATTTTTGCGGTTGGCACACAGCGGAAAGAAACAGAAAAAAACAGCGACAACAAAAAATCCCACGATAGAGAAGACCGCAGTGCAAAAAAAAAGAGCTTCATGACTGGAAAGCCAATGAGTGAGCAAAGGAAATGTGGAAATGATGAAAAAGAGAGAATAATAAATTAAGCGTGGTCAAATAGAGAATGGGGAGTACCCTGGAAAATATTAATCAGCGCAAAGATAAT